AAACCTTTAGATTGCCTTGCTTTGCCCATTCCCTCAGTGTGAATAGTGCCATACTTTTTCTGTAAACTTTGATAGTCTGAGACTGTGTGTGTGTCTGGGGGGAGGGGGAGGGGGGTGATGGGGGAAGGTCAAAAGTTTAGTTTTGGATTCCGTCACTTACATGTGGGCAGTGGCTAGACTTTGCTTGGAGCCAGTCTAGAATGGAGAAGTAGGGCATCTACTTCCCTCCAGTAGCCTGGGTGTGTGCCTTGGGTAAGCACTAGTACACCCTAGCCTCCCTTTCCAGGGTTACGATTTATATGTTTCCAACCTCGGAGTAGTCTACCCCGATGGCGCGGAAGAGGAGTGTTTTTCCTAACCTCCCAACGGCTAAAGAGCGGATGAGGAAACCTTTCCCAACGGTCATAGAAAAATAGATAACACAACAACAAGACACGATCATAAGACGACATTGTTATGAAGAAACCAACTGTTTTTCGTGGGTTTAATGTAACACAACAAAAAGCGATCATAAGAGATTGTTCAGTAAAGAAACCTACTCTTTAACTGACTTGTATTCTCGATTTTTACAGGCATCCGGAATATGGAGTCGGAGAATTTTTAAAAACCTTGGAATTCTTAATAAAGCCGAAACAAAGAAAACGACATAAATTTGGGGAAGAGCCAAAACCGAAATGTCGATCATACAAAAGCTACGTCATAGAAGAATGGCCAGGAAGAGTTACCTGCTGCGGTAAAATATTCGAAAGCGGCTGGTCGTTAAAATACCATATTGAAAAGAACCACATCAAGAGCAGACGATATCGTCTTGGATAGGAATTGCATTAACGATTTTAGTGCAATTCATTTCCAAGACGATATCGTCCAGGGGGGATTTAGGGGTGGGCCGAAGTGACCGGCCCCCTTTTATTAAATAAACTTAACCGAAATCCAAGTGCTGAAAATGGCATTTGTGACGGTTTTATATTTCAAAATATTTCGGGGAAGCACGCCCCCGGACCCCTCTATATATCCCGATGCGAGCCCCTGTGACGTCTGCTCTTTATGTGGTCTTTTTCAATGTGGTAAGTGTTCTCTCAATTAATTTTGCAACCATTTATTTATTTTTATAATACAATAGTTTCAACTTCAAAAAGAATAGTAATTAAGCTAAGTTATAATTTATTGCATTAATACTGTTAGAGTGATCGCACTTAAACCGTGCAACTGTACAAACTAAATAGTGCTATTTAGTTGTATTTAGTAAATCTTGCATGCGGTACGCAAATTAAATTGAATTGAAACAAATGACACATTCAATACCATCTTGCTTCAGGTCCACTTTTAGTACAAATTTAATACTACTTAGATTTTGTACAGTTGTACGGTTTAAGTGCGATCACTCTATAACATTCCATCAGTTTATGCATAAAAGAGCAACTTAATTTAATAATATTTTCGGCATCTTTCATGCTCAGGGATTATATATTGAAAAAAACTTTTATTATCAAACAATGTAAAATTTGGATTTATTTTAATTAACTCTCATAAAATTAATTCTAATTTTGTTATTTTCTCATAAATGCATTTAAAAAAATACAATTCGAAATAATAAATTTGACGTCAAATGCGGAGAACATGTCTTTATCTACAAATTTATTTTTATTCAGGACCATTTGTATCATTCAGAATTATCACATAGTGTGAGAATAATTTGACAATCCCATTCACTGAAAATTTATTCTAAAAAACTATGGTTTTCATACAATATCTGTACCGAGTTTACATACTAGGCTTCCTCCACAAAGTTTGCCACATCGAAATCGAAGATCGAAATGCATTGTTCGATATTCACAAAGTACGGAGTTTTTGTTGTTCCAGAATGACTATACCACAGTACACTCAATAATTACTTTACTAAAAAGCAATTACTTTTAGTATTGTCATTTTATGTAACGTGAAGTGTGTATTTAATATTAAACAGTTAAAATCCTGTGCATTCTTAGAGGTTATTAAACCGAGCGCGATCGGTCTGTACCTGAAAATATCAGACCAAGATCTCGCTGTGCTCGGTCTGTACATCATACTGAAAGAACGATCGGGCCGGATATTTTTTCCCGTAAAGATAGATCAAGCGAGGTTAATAACTCGTTTTTATATCGTAGATTATGAAGAAGAATTACTCAAAGGAAAAGTCTCTCTCTGTTCTTACCTACGAAATGGTCACTGATTGTTCTATTGTCGCATTTGATTACTTTTTCGAATATATAGAATTACAATTTTCTTTCTTTTTCCAGCAACCTCTTAACTGATTCCTTCCTTTAAAATATTAAGACCGTTACAGTGGATACCATTTTGAACAAACTGCCATATTCAGTTCATTCACATTCTAAGTATGCCAGAACAAATAACTCTTGAAGCACCCAATATCAACCATATATTCTCGAGTCATGTCCAGAGAAGATAACGTTATTTCCGCCTGCAGTAAGGAATGAATCGTGCCTTTTATATGCCAAACACGCTTGATATCGCTCTTTGATATGGTCTAGATGTGTAAATGTCACTTGAAATCTTGCAAAATCATGCCAACTTGACAATTTACTATAAACTGTCCAATCGTTTACTTTTCAACCCCTGTATTTGTAATGCTATGCTATGGATCATTAAAATATATCAAAGATGTAATCATATATAACAAACGTTTGCTTATACGCAGCAATGTTCATATTTTTTTCAATCAGCATTTATGGTATGGTTTTTGTCTGTGATATAGAATCACACTTGTGCGCAGGTTTTTGGTCGGTTATATCAGCCATGCTTCCGGTCGACACGTGTATAGAAACGAAATAATTCCGTTTTATACGAGTTATAACAAAGTTTTGTTCACCAACGTTTCTGCACATAACAGAGTTTTAGATTGACATTTTTGTTTGTGCCCCGCGCGCCAACCTCAAATCTCAAAAAATATCACGTGATCCTGAATTCAGGTTCCAGCTAATACATGTAGCGGTATGTGAAACACCCCGC